ATATACATATACATATACATATACATATACATATATCATATTCTTCTCACGCTGGGAATTCTGAACCATCCTCAGAGAAACGGATATATTAAAACTCACGACAACAGAATAGTCTTTTTTTTGGATAATATATTAGGCGTATGTGAATTAAATGTCAAATGCTGAAGTACCATATTTTCAATAAACCCGGCACCCTTGACCAGATTTCCGAAGAGAAGTGGGGATGCTGAGGAAATTGCGACATCAGAATATCTTGTTGTTTATGGGCGCCTGCATAGCCAAGCCCAAACTTGCCATCGTCACCAAGTACTGTCATGGAGCCACGTTATATGAGCACATTTACGACTACAAGACCGATTTTAGCATCGTCGATGTCGTACGGATCGTCACACAGTTCTCACAAGGTAGGTTAGGTGGGCGTGTGTATGTCGGTATATCCCGACGCACAGTCATATATCCTATTCCTTGTCTGGTGTATCTGAATTTTCAATACTACTGGTGCAATGTACTACATGGATTTGGTTGTGGATTTGGATTCAAATTGGATTCGGGTTTGGGTTTGGGTTTGGAGTTGTGTTTGGGTATGGTTTTGGTTTTAATATTGGTTATGACTATGATTTTGTTATGATTATAATTTTTGTTATGATTATGATTTTAGCTACGGTTTTGCTTATGGCTATTGATATGATTTTAGATTTGGATTTGGATTAGTGTGTTCCTATCTGTTCCAGTGATTCAGTAGTACAGGCACACACAAGCGTGTGATACCTCTATGCCCGTGTGTGTATGTGCTTGGGTGCAGAAGCGGGTTGCACACATGTACTTAAGTTCACCGTGTCGAAGCAATCACTCCGCTGGTGCTATTAGTTCTGCATCTAGTTTTAGGATGTCAATAGTAGTAAAACCCAAATCGCCATAGTTGCATATGCAGGGATGAATCATATGCATGTCGGCATAAACGGTGCTGCATCGATTACTTATAACACACTTTATATTCTCTATCAGTCCATATCGCCATGGACCTACAACACTAATCACCACACCTGTATGTACAGTGATAAAGTACCTACATGATGCAAATAGAGTGCTACGTTCGTTTCTTATATCACACGCGCTCCAGGGGTTTAGAGTTTAGGGGTCCAGGTTTCAGGTTTAGGGTTTAGGGTATAGGGTTTAGGCTGTATATCTCACTATAGTACCTCCAGGGTATCATGACTAAACTTGCCTGTCACGCACATACAGGGATGGAGTATTTGCACGCCCGTTCAGTTCTAAAGCGCACTTTAACATCGCGGAATGTATTTGTGGAGAACGATGGGAAGGTCATGATTGGTGGATTCACACTGTCAACATTGGCTCGAGACGACCACAACAACGAGGTGTGTTGTCACGTCCTCGGTTAGATTTATGTATCATCTATGTACTGAATATCTGTATGAGGTATATT